ATTTATAGTGTTCTGCTCTATACTGTTGACCTTATTTTTTTATTTAATCTCAGTAGAGCCCTGACCTTCCTCGTTACTACACAATCGAGATTAGGCTTGGCACTTACTGAGTACCGTTGTGGTGTACTCATGCCCCTTCTGCGCATATTTTTCATGTGCAGATCCAGGTACCCTACTCAGGCCTACCATCCTTGAGGGAGGTGACTGCTCTAGAGACTTCAAGGTACATCTGCTGTGTCCGTAGACCGAGAAGTCCCTTTCTATTCTAGTTGTTAAACATTGTCGGTTTTGTATTTTTCTTTCTTGTTAGATATTCTGGAGTTAGACTATTAGATATTCCAAAGGCTTGTGTTTCCGTGAGTTTCCGAGTTTTGGGATAGTGTACTTGGTTTCGAGAAGGTTGTGTTGTACATGCCGAGCGACATTATAACTATGGTTTCCATTCAGTTATTTTGGTTTTTGATGATTTCTTCCGCGAGTTTTGTTAGGCTTGTTACGCATTTGTTAGGCTTACCTAGTCGTAGAGACTATGTGCCATCACGACAGTTCACGGAGGGCGAACTGGGGTCGTGACATTTAAGTATCTCTTATACACAAAAATACATCAAAATAACTGATAGATCAAACACAAACTCTGTTCAATTATAGTCAATATACAATTGGTGCTACTGGGCCGCAATTATCTTGCCTGAAACCCATATATGAATATTTAATAATTAAATATTGTATAATTATAAAAAATTATTTAATTTACAAACAAACATATAAAATTATAAAACTAACATGTAAAATAATAAAACTAACACATAGAAGTATTCAGGATAAATTGGTGCTAATGGGCTCCAAAAATCGAGCCTAGAATCCATACGTGAATATTTAATTATAAAAATTAATTATTTAATTTATAAACTAACATATAAAATTATAATAAAACTAACACATAAAAGAATTCAAGATATCTTGGTGCTATTGGGCCGCAAATATCGAGCTTGGAACTCATATGCGAATATTTAATTATAAAAATTAATTATTTAATTTACAAAGTAACATATAAAATTATAATAAAACTAACATATACAATAATTCAGGATATCTTGGTGCTACTGGGATGTAAATATCGAGCCTGGAACTCATATGTGAATATTTAATTATAAAAATTAATTATTTAATTTACAAACAAACACATAAAATTATAAAACTAACATGTAACTAATGTTGTTTAATTTACAGTAGACGACATGTAGGTGCCGCCTATTTATCCTGGACCTTCCATCGATGAGCTACTGTCGTTACAGGGTGATCATAGGTCCGCCCACATATGAGAGGGAGGGAGAGTTACTCTCCCAGACTCTCCGCATCATGAGAGTGGATGACATGTGGGACTTTCTGCATGACAGAGTTCTCCATGCCCGTGTAGTCACACACCTGCGGGAGATGGGTTTCTCAGGATTTTGGAGATCGGGCAGCTGCAGCTCAATTGGTCTTTGGTCACGATCGTGATAGAGCAGTGAAGATCGGAGACGCACACATTCAACCTGCTCATTGGCGAGGCCACCATCACACTACAGGACGTGGAGGTTTTATATGGGCTGCCCGTTGATGGACACCCCGTTGCTCTGCTGCATGGCATGAGAGAGATGACACGCGTGCAGTACCTGGACATGCTGTAGCGACTCACTACTTTCTGGCCAGAGGACGAGAATGTACTGGCTAGGACCGGTCATTTTTCGTTGAAGACTATTCAACAGTGGTTGGAGGCATTGCATCCTGACATCGATGGTGATACACCGGATTATCATGTTGACCGGTATACGAGGTTGCTGTTACTCCTTATGTTTGGAGGGGTCTTGTTCTCGAACACTTCGGGGAACCTAGTAAGCTTGAGATTTCTTCATCATCTTGAGCTGCTAGATGATTTACCCCAGTACAGTTGGGGTGTTGTTGTTCTCAGCTACTTGTACAGGCAGATGTGCCGAGCGAGCATGGGCACCCAGCGTGACATTGCTGGATTTTTGCGGCTACTACAGGTGACAACATATTCAAATACTCTATTCATTTTAACATACCTAGTAAAAATACATCTTAAATTTTACGTCAACTTTTTATGTTAGGTTTGGGCCTAGAAGCGGTTCCTGCAATTGCAGCCACCTCTACCTCCATTAGATCCGGATGTACCACCTCTGTTGCTCCCTCTAGCTAGGAAGTGGGTTCTCCGGCGGGGACATGCGTGCGAGTACGAGGCTCGGCATAATCTCTCCTTGTGTAGGGATATCTTGGATTTGCTGGATGGCGCACAAGTAAATGTATATCTAAGTTTACTTGTCATAGCTTCAAACACAAGTTGTGTATACTGACTTTTTCTGTTCCTACTTAATTGTTCATCTAGACGCCATACAGCGACGCGTTGATAGCTGGCTTGCCCTGTTATTGCTCGGCCGACCGACTTATGTGGGTCACTTCCGTCCGGTTGATCTGCCTTAATATTGTGGAGCATCATGCCACCAAGCGGGTACTACACCAGTTTGGTGGTCCGTAGCTTGTACCGACACCGCCCACCTGGCAGACCACACATTACCAACGGGATGATCGTACCAGGGTGGACGACGCATATTTGGCATGGCTACAGGAGCAGATATTTACTTGGGACCGGCGATTTGACCTGATTCTGCCCCTCCCCCCTGATAAGTTGGTATTTTACCAACTTATCTTGTCTTTAAACCTATACTTTTGCTATGTTTGAGCGATAAAATCATGTGTTCAATGTCATTTACTTCTATTTTACAGGTTGTATGTGATTTAGAGGTAATGGTGAAGAAACCAAGTAAAAACAAGTTAAAAAGGAGCTAAAATGGACAATGAGAAACTGCCCAGTGGTTTACTCTTCGCGAACGCGAAGGTACAATGCGAACGCGAAGAAGCAGGCCGCTAGACCTTCGCGAACGCGAAGTACACAACGCGAATGCGATGAACCAGAACCTGAACCTTCGCGAACGTGAAGGACCAAACGCGAACGCGATTCCTGAGGAAAGCAAACCTTCGCGAACGCAAAGGTGTGATCGCGAACGCGATGAAGAAACTGGGCGTGAAAACTAGGCAGTTCTGGAATTTCACATTTTGGACCCCAAACCCTTTAATACCCAAACCAGCTCATTTGTAAAGAATCTTTGGCTTATTTTCAGTTCCATAGACTAGAGAAGAACAAGTTTTGGAAGCTAGGGTTTGCACACACACTTGGGTTTTGGAGATTTCAAGTTTATGGTTAAGGATTTCTTACCCATTTATGTTGCTTTCTTCATTTCCTTGCTTTGTATTGTATATCTAAGTGTGTAGTATTTTATTCAACACTTGAATCTTATTTATGGAAATATTTATGTTTAAAGTGTGGATTAAATACCTTGTTGTGCTTATGTATTGAATGATTTTTATCCTTTTATGAAGTGAGTTATTGTTACTTTAATTATTCTTGTTCTTTAATGTTTACAAAGGGATTAGCTAACCCTAAGAATCTCCCATTAACTCCGAATTAATTTTGGAAAAGATAATTTGGGGTTGGGAAAGATTAAATAACAAGAACTTGAGTCTTTAACCCTCATTTTATAGATTCTATCTAGGGATAGGATTGAACTACTTGTAGTCATTCTGGTGTGCTTAATCTCTTAATTGGGTTAGGAATAAGTTAATTAGGAAGTCTTGTTAGTCTTCGGAAGAAGCTAATTAAGAAATATTATCCGGGGCTAATTAACATAAACTCGCTCATATTTGTAAAATCATGAAATACATTGGATCGTTACTTGAGTGTAATTCCCGATGCAACCATACTTGTAGCCATTGATCATTTTACTCGCTTTCTAGGTTAGTTTACACTTCGGCATTTAGATATAAACATTTTCTAAACCAAAATCTAAGTGTTTGGCATTGCACGATAAGTGATAATTCTCTTACATTCCTAATCGCCTATATATTGTTCTCTGTGGGATTCGACCCCGACTCATAGTTGGGTAAATTATATTGCATGCGACCGTGTCCATTTACTTTTTAGTAGTGGATTTGG